CTGCTGCTGCTGCTGCTGCTGCTGCTGCTGGGGGGGCCCCTGGGGGTGGCCCCCACGCGTACCTAGACCTAGAAGGCAGGGCCCTAGTAACAGAACATGAGGGTTTAGTTGCTGCTAATGCTTACAGCCCTGCCAGCGGAATGTTGTGGGAAAGACTTGTTTACAAAATGCACTTTTTGCATGCGCTGCGCGCGCTGCTGCTGCAGCAACGGTCAGCCCCAAACCACGATTTAGGGTTTGCGGCTTGCGGGCAGGTAGTGAGGGTCTAGGGTTTAGGGTTTGCGGCTAAAGGCTTGAGAGCTAGGTGTGGGATTTCAAGAGTTTGGTTCCCTTTCACGGTCGGTTTGAGAGGACGAACTAAAGCACAGAGCTAGGGTTTAGGGTTTAGGGTTTAGGGTTTGCTGCTGCAGGCTGCTGCGTGGAAAGCCGGTTCTGCTGCTGGGGGATTTAAATGCAACAACAGGACTAAAAGACACGAACATGCTTGACGCGGTGGTGAACATAAGAGACCTGTGGCCCCCTGCAGCAGCAGCAGCAGCAGAAGCAGCAGCAGCAGCAGAGTGGAAGCCCTGCGGCCGCCTTGCTGCTGCGCTGCAGCAAAAGCTGCTCGCAGCCGGACCTTTTGTGGAGCAGCTGCTGCGGGACCCCCAGGGCCACGAGGTGCGGCTGGTCCCCCCCTACACTCCCAAGCAGCAGCAGCAGCAGCAGCAACAGCAGCAGCAGCAGCAGCAGCAGAAGCAGAAGAGGCGACCTGGGTGCTACCGCTTCCTGCTGAAGCCCCCCGGGCTGCGCCCGCGGCAGATAGGCAGGCCCTTGTAGGTGCCAGCAGCAGCAACAGCAGCAGCAGCATCTGCAGTAGCAGCAGCAGCAGCAGCACAGCAGCAGCAGTAGTAGCAGTAGCAGCAGCAGCAACAGCAGCAGCAGCAACAGCAGCAGCAGAATATTGAGCTGTTCAGTTCCTTTGTTGATTTAGATTATCTGAGTGTCTTCTTTTATATTTATTTTTACTTAAATTAAATACGCTGCATGAAATGCTTTTCTCTGTTTGCTGCTGCTCATAATATTGGAAATCTATTTATTTTTATTTAATACATTTAAATTCCTTTTCTTGAACTTATAAGCGTTTATCTAGTCATTTTTCATTTATTATTTGTGTCTCTTGCTGCTGCTGTTGCTGCTGCTGCTGCTGTTGCTGCTGCTGTTGCTGCTGCCGCTGCAGCGACACAGCAGAAGAAGCTGAAATTCGACTGTCTCTACACCGCTGGCAGGTGCAGGTTACAGCTGCGGCCATCAGGGGAGCAGCAGCGCAGCCCCAACCCTCAGCAGCAGCAGCAGCAGCAACAGCAACAGCTGCAGCAACAGCAGCAGCAACAGCAGCAGCAGTAGCAGATGAAGAATCCCGCACCTTTAGATTTGCTGTCGAGGTACCCCAGGGCGACGCAGCGCCGAAATTCCTAAACTGCAAATATCAATATGAGGTGAGCTCAGTACAGCCGCCAAACCCTAAACCCTAAACCCTAAACCCTAAAGCCTTATGGTGTCAGAGATGTGAGGCGCATACGCGCGCTGCACTTGTATTTGTGTTACTCCCGCTGCTTCTGGGTCGTTCTGGCGTCAGAAAGGCAGAAAATATGGTTTTGGGTCCAGGTTTTAGGGTTTAGGGTTTAGGCTTTGGGGTTTAGGGTTTAGGGTTTAGGGTTTAGGGTTTGAGTGCAGCCTGATGGAGAGGACGGCAGCAGCTGGATCTGCAAAGAAGCAAATTGCTTGTCGCTGCAGCACCTCGCGGACTGCTTCAGCGCTGTGCAGGTTAGACCAAGCCCTAAACCCTAAACCCTAGACCCTAAAGCCTAACAGCAGCAGCAGCAGCAGCAGCAGCAGCAGCAGTATTTGCAGGGAGCTCTCTTGAGTGCTTCACGCCGCATCACATCCCCTGATGTTTGGACAAGACAAGAACAATTAAATAATTAAATGGCGCATTTGTTTATATTTTAGTATTTTGAATTGAATTGAATTTAATTTAGTTTTATTTAATTTAATTTATTTTTGACTGCAGCAACCGCTGACGCAAGAAGAAGTGTTTCAGCTGTACGTACACCTCGGCCGCTCCGGACATCCCCCCTGCGTGGTCAACTTCATGCAGAGTTTGCTGCAGCAAGACAAGATGGTGGACACTTTTGCTGCTGCATGCAGCAGCAGCAGCACCTGCTGCAGCAGCAGCAGAAGCAGCAGCAGCAGCAGCAGCAGCGGCAGCAGCACGGCGTGGGTTGGCGCCTTCACCGCGTGGGACCAGTACACCAACAAGCGCTATACGAATGAGGCAAGCAAATGCTTGCTGCTGCTGCTGCAGCAGCAGCAGCAGCTGCTGCTGCTGCTGCTGCTTGCTGCACCTTGTCGCTGCTGCCGGGCTGCTGCCGGGCAGCGAAGCTCTACGGCTATAGCCGTTCTTGCCGCTCTGAAGTCAGGACCTGAAACCTTAGACCACAAGTCCCAAACCCTAAACCCTAAACCCTAAACCCTAAACCCGAAACCCTATGCCCGGCAGCTTATTTGCTGCTCCTACTTTTGATTTGGGGCTGCATGCATGCAGGGAGCGCGCATTGACTTCATCTTGGCAGATGCAGAGCTCTGGGGGGGCCCCCAAGGGGCCCCTGAGGGGGCCCCCCAAGCGGCCCCACAGGGGGCCCCTGAGGGGGCCCCCCAAGGGGCCCCCCAGGGGGCCCCACAGGGGGGCCCCCAGTGGGCCCCAAAGGGGGGCCCCCAGGGGATGCTGGAGCTGCTGCCGACTCGGGGCTTAAGTCCGAGTAGGTTGTAGCCAGGAGTCTAGCTAGCCAGCTGGCTAGCTGGCTAGCTAGCTAGCTAGATAGATAGCTAGATGGCTCGCTGCTTAGCTAGCTAGCTAGCTAG